TATGACTTTGAATTTGGTCGAAAAGATAATGAGCTTTCAATAGAATTTCTTGGAAGGTATTTCGTACTATTTTCAGTATTAAAATGTCGATCTTTCTTTGAATAAAAAAGTTTCTCCATCGTTGCTTTTGAAAAAAGACTATCTTCTCGTTCAATGTCGCCAGAGTTTAGATTGTAACATGTCGTCCCTTTCGTCTGGATGCAAGGAGAAACCCAAGAACGCTTCCTTTCTTGACTAACACTTTCTCGTTTGCTTATCGATGCTTTCCATATATTATCTTTGTTTTGAGTTAGGTTTGCATCCCGTGATATCCAAGGACAGGTCCAAGGTCTTCGCTTTTCTAAAATCACAGTGTGCTGTTTGTTTTTCGATGGTGTAAATTGAGAAATCTCCATGTGTAAAGTTTGTTTCGAGTGGTGCTCATCAGTTTCCGTCATACCCCATGATGAACTAGAAGAAGGAAGAACTCCTGAAACACTGGTGCTTCCCTAGTTCAGATATTTTTAGTAAACCGTGTCGATCTTTGCTTTAAGTGAGCAAATTGTCATTGAAGATAATCCTCTTTGCTTAGGATGACCATTAAATTGACAAGAGAAAGAGTCCTGGACATCTGATTCAGGTCAAAATGTATTTCTAAACCACTTTTAAGTGGTCATTTTCAGAACCATCTATGTTGTTTCCTATCCCATACATGGATAATAACTATTGATTTGACCACCTCTGGCACAACAATGATATCTATAACATAATTAGTCGAATTTCCTTTTTTGCCTGCTCCAGACTAATATAAATTTGGTTTGCAAAGTATATTTGATTTCTCAAACAGCTTCAAACTCTTGTGTACATGTCACACACATACATAAATAAATAACGTTATAAATGTGGCAAAGAATATTATATTTATAATCTATCCTTGTGAAGCATGATGCAATTAAATAACTAGAGAAAAATACAACTTTTATCATTTTAACCAAAGCGATTCAGCTTCAACCTCCCCTGACAGCATTCCACGCAATAACCAGTTACCGTTCCCAGGGAAACTTCTCTCCACACACCAGTCCCCAGTCCACTCATCCAAAAAGCTTATTACCATAGTAACCAAAGATAAACATAAGGATAGATTAATTTGGCAAACAAATCATTAGACTTGTGTATTGTATTTGTGCAAGTACTGTTCAGAGATTAGGAGAATACAATAGGGCTTGAAGCACTTGTCAATAGTGTATTGTACATACTGAATATGATGCTACTTGGCTTTAATGAATAGTTAATAGGCC